TAGAATACTGAGAGCTAAAATAGGGCTCAGGCCCAGATATTAACATTTGTTTTTTGAAGTTTATTAAGATTTATTACAGGTACTATAATAACTATTTCTACAGACTGTGTATTATTATAAAGGGAATTGTTTTCTTAATTTTATTTTTGGGATGTTCTTTGCTAATCTATTGAAATATTTTTGTATATTGGTTTTGTATCTGGCAGCCTTGCTGAATTTGTTTATTAGCTCCAACAGTCTGTTAGTGGATTCCTTAAAATTTTCTATATGCAACATCCTGTTATCAAAACAGATAATTTTACTTCTTCCTTTCCAATGTGATGCCTTTTTAAAAAATTGTTATAAAATATACATAATAAAATTTGCCATTTTAGCCATTTTTAACTGTACAGCTCAAGAGCATTAATAACATTCACAAGGTTGTGCAACTGTCATGACTATTTCCAAAATATTTTCATTTTTATCATGTAATGGAATTGGATTTTGTCAAATGCTTTTTCTGTGACTATTGAGATGTTCATGTGTTTTTTTTCCTTCATTTTATTAATGTGGTGTATTACATTGTAAATTTTCTTATGTTGAACCACCCTTCTGTTCCTGAGATAAATCCCACTTAGTCATGGTGTATAATTGTTTTAATACGCTATTGGATTTGTTTTTCTGTTCAGGGTTTTTGCATCTATATTTATAAGGGATACTGGTTTGTAATTTTATTTTTTGTGAAGTCTTTATCTAGCTTTGGTATCAGGGTAATGCTGGCCTCATAGAATGAGTTAATAAGTGTCCCTTCCTCTTCTATTTTTGGGGGGAAGAGTGTAGAAGGATTGTTGTTAATTTCTCTTTTAAACATTTGGTAGAATTTACTGTGGAACCTATGTGGTCTTGTACTTTACTTTGTTGGGAGGTTTTTGATTATAGTCTGTACTTCTTATATAGGTTTGTTGAGATTTTCTGTTTCTTCTGAGACAGTTCAGGAATTTGTGAATTACTAGTTAAAAGTTTGTCAATTTTGTTGATTTTTTTTTTTTCCAAAAAACAACTTTTGGTTTTGTTGATTCTCACTATTGTTTTTCTGTTCTGTATTTTATTTATCTCTGTTGAAATATTTATTATTTCCTTCCTTGTGCTAGCTTTGGGTTTAGTTTCCTCTTTTTCTAGTTCTCAGGTTATAAAGTTAGGTTATGGATTTGAGCTCTTCTTTCTTAAATGTAGGCATTTACAGCAGTAAATTTCCTTGTAAGCACTGCCTTTGTTGCATCCCATAAATTTTGGTATGTTGTTTTTTTGTTTTCACTTTTCCCTATTAAATAGTCTAATTTTTCTTGTTGAACAGTGTGTTTAATTTCCTCTTCGACCCATTGGTTGTCTAGAGTGGGTTGTTTAATTTCCACACATTTGTGAATTCTCCAGTTTTCCTTCTGTTACTGATTTCTAGTTTTCTTCCATTGCAGATGGAGGAGATAATTCATGTGATTTAAGTCTTTTTAAATTTATTCAGATTTGTTTTATTGAGATGTGGTCTGACACATGGTCTGTCCTGGATAATGTTCCCTGTGCACTTGAGAAGTATGTATATTCTGCACTTTTGGGGTGGAGCATTCTATATGTGTCTGTTAGGTCCAGTTGTTTTATGGTGTTATTCCAAGTCATCTCTTTCCTTATTGATCTTTCTTGATGTTCTGTTCATTATTGAAAATGGTGTACTAGTCTCCAGTTATCATTGTAGAACTGTTTCTCTTTTCAATGTTTGGTTTATATATTTGTCCATATTTGTGTATAATTGTTATATCTTCTTGATGAATTAACCTTTTTATTGATACATAATGTCCTGGGTGCCTATTGTTTCTTTTTCTTTCCACTGTTCTGGCTAGAACCTCCAGTACAGTGTTGACTAGAAGAGGTAAAAGCAGTCATCCTTGTTCTTATTCCTGATTTTAGGTGGAAAGCATTTCGTCTCTAATTTTTAAGTATGATGTTCGCCTTGAGTTTTTCACAGGTGTCATTTATCAGTTGGGGAAGTTCCCTTCTATTCCTAGTTTGCTGAAGCATTTTTTTTTTTTACCATAAATATTTATTTATTCACAATTTGTGTCAAGAATATGACATATGACTGATCAAAAAGCTGAAACATCAAAAACTAGGAAATAATGCCCAGAAAATGAGGTGGTATTATATATCTTAAGAAATATACTTTATTATACACAAAACAGGCAATCCAGACTCCACCAAATCTCATTTCTATTGAATCATTTTGGTTACATTTTAAAAACACATACTTCAAAAAATTAAACGATGGAATCAGTATGCAAATGCTTATTTAGCCAGACCGTGGCTAAATCCATGGCAGATCTTAAAAGTAGCACTATCAAGCCCTTTCAACCAATCCATACAACTTTGACCATCCAAATTGGATGCTATAGTTCAGGGGGGGGGAAAGTCTAAGTTGGATGTTTTCTCTTTGAAAAACAGAGATTAAGGGATCAATAAATAAAGC